ATATAACACCTTAAACCAGGGTTACCAGGTGCTCAGTCACGTTGATTGTCATGTTGTACTGCGCAAGTCAGCAAACAATCTGGCGCAATAAACGTTAGGAATCATCAGGTATTGCCAGATCCCGAATACCGGGCACCATAGTAACCGTTATAGTTGTCCTTCAAAGTTGTCAAATCGCCCCTATGGCGCAAATTCGCCACACCAGGCAACTGTGCTATAAACAAACCCTGTTTATCACTACTATTTGATAGTCATATGGTAGTTGTAGCCCTATCTAGCGGTCCATGATTTCTCTCAATACTGTTGTATCTCTACTGGCAACAAGAATAGGGATTACAAAATCATTTATACAACAATATACAAACATGAAAAATATGATTTGAACCATGAAACATTAATACAATTTTAATAGTTTGAACTTTTTTCATTTTTGGAATACTCTTATGTGGAATCCGCAGCTATTTTTCCCAAAATTTGGGTAGACTTAGATTTCTTAGAAATATGACATATTGGTATCGGCAACTCTGCGAATGGGAGAAACAAATCGCATTTGTTGAGCGCATCCGTCTAAGCGGTAGGCGCCAGCGCCCGTTCTGCCATCTCTCTCTTTTATCACTCTTCTACTTTACCCCGTTGTCCGTCACAATCCGAGGCTGCCAGATATGATCCTACAATCGAGTGTCTTTCACGCACCTACATACTTTTGTATATTTCCATCTCTCTTCCTCATCATAATGTATAATAATGTTTTTTCCCAAGGTGTATAACTATGCTATAAGAATATTTTAAACACTTCATTTTAGAGCAAATATGTTGCAGAAAGCAAATCTGCATTCCACACAACATTAAGGCAGCATTTTTGTGTTCAGGCAACAACAATAGAGAGCTTTTCTGGCTGAACGGTTCTTTTACCAAAAGCTTATGCCACTACGTTGCTAGTTGGGATATCAGTTTCTCCTCCAATTTGCCGTGCACTTGAATGGGGATTTTCCTGCAACTTTAATAGAATCTCCAACTGATTCGCCTCATTGGTGACACTTGGATTATTTCCACTTGATTCAAAAGTTCTCGTATATTATATATATATATATATATATATATATATATATATATAACAAAAATAAGAAAATAATGGGCAAAATCCGCAAAAAGTGGATTCGAGCAGAAAATAGGATAGGTAACCCGAGCGATACGTATTTCTGCTGGTTGGCTTCATCAGGCCCGAAATGAATGCACATATGCAACTACAAAAGTAGATACACATGCCCACACATCCGGATACGGGTGTAACCTGACGAAACGAAGATGGAGAGGAAAAAAAAGACACACGAAGTCCACAACAAGAGCCAACCTACACATTGTAGTATAAAATGGCTAGAAGACCTTGAATTTTCAAGGCGACAAATAACCACAACCACGCGGCCGGTTATAGCCACTTGCTGTGGTACTTCAAGCCCAAAGGATCTACATAGAGAAAATTATCATGCGGAGAAAGGTATATAACAAAAATAGGAAAATAATGGGCAAAATCCGCAAAAAGTGGATTCGAGCAGAAAATAGGATAGGTAACCCGAGCGATACGTATTTCTGCTGGTTGGCTTCATCAGGCCCGAAATGAATGCACATATGCAACTACAAAAGTGGATACACATGCCCACACATCCGGATACGGGTGTAACCTGAGGAAACGAAGATGGAGAGAAAAAAAAAGACACACGAAGTCCACAACAAGAGCCAACCTACACATTGTAGTATAAAATGGCTAGAAGACCTTGAATTTTCAAGGCGACAAATAACCACAACCACGCGGCCGGTTATAGCCACTTGCTGTGGTACTTCAAGCCCAAAGGATCTACATAGAGAAAATTATCATGCGGAGAAAGGTATATAACAAAAATAGGAAAATAATGGGCAAAATCCGCAAAAAGTGGATTCGAGCAGAAAATAGGATAGGTAACCCGAGCGATACGTATTTCTGCTGGTTGGCTTCATCAGGCCCGAAATGAATGCACATATGCAACTACAAAAGTAGATACACATGCCCACACATCCGGATACGGGTGTAACCTGAGGAAACGAAGATGGAGAGGAAAAAAGACACACAAGTCCACAACAAGAGCCAACCTACACATTGTAGTATAAAATGGCTAGAAGACCTTGAATGTTCAAGGCGACAAATAACCACAACCACGCGGCCGGTTATAGCCACTTGATGTGGTACTTCAAGTCCAAAGGATCTATAAAGAGAAAATGATCATGCGGAGAAAGGTATATAACAAAAAATAGGAAAATAATGGGCAAAATCGCAAAAAGAAGGAATGTATATATATATACATACAGGGTGACTTCGAAGTTGAGTCATTTATTTTAACAGTGAGTAGATCTGATCAAAAGAAATGTTGTTTTCCTTTACCATTTTTCTGGTAAAATTAAAGTAACAAAGTTATAGCCCTTTGGAAGTTTGAGTACCGCCCTGTCTTCAAGCCCAAAGTATCTGCATAGAGAAAATTATCATGCGGAAAAAGGTATATAACAAAAATAGGAAAATAATGGGCAAAATCCAAGCATAATGTTAGTAGATATGAGGCGTCAAGTTGCAAAACCCGCCTAAGAGCTACTAACACAAGCCGGCGGCAATGCCGCCGGGTTTATGCCGAGCAGCTGTGCCGTCGGCAATACAAGCCGCCAAGCATCATTCCGGTTGTGACAGTCACATAGAAAGCTAGTGAAGTGCTGCATTTCTGGGATTCCATAATCTATCATTTTCATGAAATTTTTCAATTAAGAGCAGCACAGCTTCGTCGTCCCAATTAAACGACATTTTAATTTGTTTAAACACACAAACCGCACAACATTACCGCTCGAATGCCAGGAACGAAGTGACGCCGGCAAGCCGCGTAACCCGCCGGCACACCACGGCGGCTCCTTTGCGCGGCAAGGCCGGCGGCTTTGTATGCCGCCGGGTGTACGGCGGCCCTGCCGCCGGCACTGTGTGTAGCAGCCTTTATCCATTTTTCAAAATTGAGATAGTAAATAATATTAATGGTAGACCTTGAATCTTCATAAATACAGCCACAAAATGTTACAAAAGCCGCTCCTTCCTATTTAAAATTGAGTTTAAAAATGTATAACTGCGGCAAAATCCGTCTTATCCGTTGGATACACTATGGACAAGAGTGTCTAGATCAGAAAGACCTAAAGTACTACCAAGAATTACTATTTGGACTTCAGGCAGCCCCAGAAAACTATCAAGAAGATAATGATAAAGGTGCAATCGCAGAAGAAGAAGAAACTGATTTAAGAATTTAGATTTTTTTTGTCATACGTTCAGAGTTTTATTTTTGTTTATACCCATCTTAGCTTTATTATTCTTATAATAACAATATTTTACCAGAGAAATCTATTTCTGTTATTAAAGCATTGGTTAATACTGCTTGTCTAATTTTATTAAAAAAACACAAATTACAAATTCGGAAGCAAAACCAGCAATATTCGCAACTTGCTATAGCAAAACCCGCAATATGCATCCTACTACAACAAAACTCGCCTCATCCATTTTGTTTGTTTGTTTTTTTCCTTGAAAAAAAAACAATTATTTCTGGACAAAATAGATGCAAACTTACAACTCCACACAATCGGCTTTTATTTTTTTAAATACCACTTGTAACTTTGAATAAAATGGTTTTAGTCGATTATCTCGAAATCAAGCTTGTGGAATAAGGCGGGTTGTGCAACTTGACGCCTCATATATAATATCACGCACACCTCGTATCTGCATATCGCATCTTCTACTACCTGGTGTTATAAGTCCCTCAGATCCTCAACCCGGAGGCGCACTGTAAAATATTTTTCCAAGTTTCAAATATGTCGAATAGGTGCATAGAATTACCGGTGCTGGAGGTGCATTATTTCGCGATCACAAAAAATTTCGGAAACGCTCTCCAAACCCCTCACCTCACAATTTTGTACCAGTGAAACATTTTTCAAACATAATCAGGATCCTCTAAAACGTCGGAAAACGAAGTTTGGGCGATTTTTTGTTTTTGGCTTTTCTCCGCCGCCACTGAACGAGATTTTAAAAAATTACAAAGGTTCTTCGTGGCTAGTAGTAACCTTCAGTGGATATTCCATCAAAATCCGAGCGGCACTTTCCATGTTATACACGGGTCTAGCTTTAGCGGACAGACAGACCGACGAAAATGAGCGTCATGATTTTTCGTACATGTCATTCAAAAAATATATCTCATTTTTAAATTTTTCCCGCGATTACAAGACTTCCTCGCCAGTAGGCGTGAGAATTACAAATTGGCACATTACGGTTGGATCTAGCTATATTGCTCAAAGATTATAAAATACACAATTTTTACTGGCGCGCTTTAAGAGCCACACGCCGTTTGTGTATATCAGTGTAACTATAGATTTTTCTACCTTTCATATTCCTACACCTGAATTTTATCTACTTGAAAAAATAACATCTTTTATATCAAACGATTGTACTTACCATATTTTTGTTTCAGGGTAAAAATAAGAAAAACAAGAAGTCGAAGATGTTGAAAGTGGACTCTCGCATCTTGGGCTTCAATGTGACGTCAGCCCCTGACCGAATCAATGTGGGTGATAGAGATTACGGTGATAATTCGTAAAATAGTTGTATATTGTACCGAGATTCTATTGATAATTGTACCTAATTATATTATACATATATTGATTTTTAAGACATTTTTTCTCTAGTTTCTTTTTTCGCTTTATTTATGTGTAATAGTTTTTTGTTTTACTATTTTACTGTTAAATACTAGTTTTACATAAAAATGATTGAATGATTGGTCTTTTCTCGTTCCACATGGGACTTCCTCCTTGTTGATGGGTGAAAATGTAAAATTGCAAAAATAAATATTTTGATAGTTTATTATATAAAAGAGATGATCTTTTTCATTTCTGGGTAAGGAGTTTTTTAAATAAAGATGTTGACAATATGATAATTCTTTAAATAATACCAAAACAAATTCTCAGACTTTTATTATTAAAAAAAATATGTTTGCGTTTAAAAACAAGATACATTCTAATCAACAAAAAAGCATTCCAATATACAAACTTATACTCGTATCCTTGCTTAAAAAACTTAATTATGAAAAGGATTACTGTTCTTTGAATAAAGAACATTCTCGAAACAACGTTTCACTTACTATGGTAAACGTATTAGCTTAACTAAGTTCTCCAACCACCCCTAGAGCCTCTGCCACCTCTGGAACCCCGACCTCTGCCTCGCCCTCTTCCACCGCGGTCTATAAAACAATAATTTTAGTGCCTAGTTTCAAATATATTTCCAGCTGTTTATTTTAGTCCACACTGACTAGCCAAAAATCGACCCTGTTTCAGAAATAATTGTAATAAGCGGTTCTACAGCGCAATTATATTCTTGAGGGTATATGATCGAGAAATACAAATTTGTTAACTTTTTTATTAATTTGTTAAAGTTGGAAAAATACTTTATCAAATATATTCGAATAGTTGTCAAATTTGCTGTAATATTTATTTGTTATTACAAATAAACATTTATTTTGTACTGGAAAATGCATAATATACTAAGTGACATATAAATCCGAACACCCAGTTTAAATGGTTTTATTTTAATAAAAGTTGGTGAATGTATTTATCTTACTGTAAATAACAAGTGAAAAAATTTTCAGCCTTATCAGTTGGACATTCCGGTTTTTATACTGCTTTTTTTTAATTCACTAACGCTCTAAAAATGAATATTTCAGCCGCAGTAAAGAATCAACGTTGGCGGATTTTGGTTCTTGACATCCTTTACGATCGGTTACGATGCCTAGAGTACGGAAACCTGTACGATTTCGTCAACTTAGTGAGGTTGATAAGGGCCGTATAGTGGGACTTCGGGAAGCTGGACTTTCTTTTCGGGCAATTGCAGTTAGAGTGCAAAGAAGTGTAGACACTGTGGTTATGTGTTGTCAGGCATGGCTTCGAGAAGACCGTACGCAAAGAGCAAGGGGCACTGGACGCCGCCGTAGAACAACAGACCGTGAAGATCGCCGCCTAAGATTATTGGCCTTAAGGGACCGTTTCTCCACTACCAGGTCCATTGTAAACGAATGGTTTGCAGAACACGGAAGACCTATGGGCATGCGAAGTGTTTACCGACGAATGAGAAGTTTTGGCTTGTTTTCATACCGGCCACACTGAGTCCTCCCTTTAACTCGAGAACACCGACGTAATCGCCTTAAGTGGTGCAGACAACGGTCACTCTGGGATCAGGAATGGAACAGTACGTGCCAGGGTTAGAAGGCGACGTGGTGAAAGGAGGAATCCACAGTTTTTTGTTGAAAGACATGTTCATCACACTGTTGGAGTTATGGTTTGGGGTGCTATAGCTTATGGTTCCAGGTCACCTTTAATCTTCATCAGAGGTAACATGAACGCGCAGCGTTATATCCACGAAGTTCTAGAACCCCATATTTTACCCTATCTTGACACCCTGGCAGATCCAACTTTCCAACAAGATAATGCCCGACCTCATGTTGCAAGAGTCACAATAGACTTCTTTCAACATAATGATGTCACATTGTTACCATGGCCACCAAGATCTCCCGACTTATCCCCAATTGAGCACGTGTGGGATATGATGGGTAGGAGATTGCTCAATTTGCAACGTCCTCCTCAGACTCTAGAAGCACTTCGAGAGGAGTTGGTGGTTGCCTGGAATGAGATACCACAGGAGGACATTGACCACCTGATCAGAAGCATGCCTAGGCGCGTTGGAGAATGCGTAGCACATCAGGGTGCATCCACACATTATTAAAGGTCAAAGGACTTTAAAGCAGTGCAATCATTTTGAAATTTTTATCATTTACTTATTATGCTTCATTAAAAAAAATTTCATTAAAATAAAACCATTTAAACTGGGTGTTCGGATTTATATGTCACTTAGTATAGTAAATCTGAAATACGAGCTAAAAGTTAGAACCTTTGTGGTACATAACATCCACGGAAAATTTCATTAAAAAATGTTCGATCGTGTCTATCTGCATCTATTTATTTACTTTATTTTTCCAGAAAAATTACATGATTAAACAAACTTGCCTGTAAGTGATGTTCGACCTTAATTATGTGAAGCCCTCGACCAAGTAAACAGAATAGATATGTAGTATCCCGTTTCCGACCAAACCCACGAGTTCAAAGCGGGCACGCAATGAAGAAAAGCTGCTCACCGCGCCCTCCTACCTTCTTTCCGGCCCCTGGCCGACCATGCAACAATTGGATGATACATAGGGAGTGAGGGAGCTATTTACTTCGACGAGGCCTTCACATAAGGTGGAACAACACCAAGTTCGTTTGATTATGTAACTATGTTCCGGTCTCGACTCGTAAAAAGAATAGATACGTAGATGGTCAAAGCGAGTTGCAACAACATACTATTAACGCTTTGAACTATCCAACGATAGGTTGTATGTATGTGTCAACTTAATTTACATTTTCATTGTAACAACTAAAGTTAGGGCTTTGAACAGGTAAAACGACATACATAGGTTCAAAAATAAAAATACCATTCATAACATGGTAACAAGCAAATAACGTAATAACATAGTTATGTTTAAGGTCGGGAGACTTGGTTTACGTCAAATGCCGCTGGACTTTCAGAAGATGATAATAAATTCCAAAGCTTTTATCGAATGAGGAAGGAGAGATTTCAGCCATGTCGAGAGCAATTAAACAAAACTTTTGAATCTTACGCTTGCTTCTACGGCTGCCTTACGCCAGACCGCTACGACTATCGTAATACGACTGAACATCTCATACTACGCTGCAACACCGCTTCGTGTGCGGACTTGTTAGCATACATACGAGCTCGTTTAGCTCTTGTCCTACGCGCGTATTACGATACGACGTAGTGTGCGAAGGCTCTAATTGTCAGGAGAGGTCGGTTGCCTTGACAAACACGGCTATCATCCTTTCAGCCTGGGTTTACTTAAACCGAAATTATGGCACACAGAATGCCAGTCTCTTCAATTTTTGTAAATAAATTAGAACTACACTGACAGCGCTATATGTTATTGTGGATATTTTCAGATTTCATAAAATATATTACAATATAAATTTTGAATAGGAAACTTAAGAAAAACACATTTTGTATAATGAAATCTACGACTATAGTTTTGAACAGGCAGCTTGATAAACTTGAAATCTTTTTTATATATGGACTTAATTGCAATTTTTAATAAGGTGATTAATGTTACAATGGCTTCATTGAGGAAAAAAATGAAATTTTAGCCCCCAAGGTCTCAAATAATTCATTTTCTTGTCAAAGTGTGTATTTTTCATCAGCAGCATAAGCATCCTAATCACGACTATCAAAAAACAATGGACTTCCAATTGTTTTATAAGGCAAAAATAGATGTAGTCTTAGCAACGCTTTTTTACGTGATTAGTATAAGAAAATCTAGTATCTATCTGAATAAGATATTAATTAACCTAAGTGCCTCGCAAGAGAATACGCCTAATATGGCCCTATTTGAAGTGGACAGCTAGTCGAGAAAGGCATTTTTTTCTGAAAATTAGTAACAATTAAAAAATTGCAGAGACCTGTTGAGCATTTTTCAATGGCATTCTTGATGATGTATGGCTATTATTTCAGGTTCACAGTTATGCATTTTCCAGTACAAAAAATATCTAGAAATTGACGGTTTCTGATGTTTTTTGTAATAAATTATTTATTACGGCAAACTCGCCGTGGAAGCTCTTATTTTGAAGATATTTCCATCCCTAAGGTTTTTTTTTGGCAACTTATAAGTAAAAAGAGGTTTTAACAACTTTGACGTTAAATAAAAGTTAGCCAGCAAATCTTTTTGTACCCCTCGGCGACGTGTCTTGCCGTATACCCTCAAGAATATAATTCCGTTGTAAACCAGCTTCTTCTAGATATTCTAATTGTTATAGACTGACTAAGGATAACGTTAAATAATGCAATATGCATAACAGGACTTCCGATTTGAACTGATAACTCCTATAATATGTACCAATGTGCGTCTGCCATTTGCGTGACGTCATCATGTCTAAAGCGATCTCTTTGCGTATGGAGGATTCTATCCCTTTCTAGATACTCAAAGTGTGTCAAATCCTCATCTAGTGTCTGCTTTACTCGCCGTTGAGACTGCTCAAATGTCTAGGGATTGTATACACATTACTGCAAAAACATCTGGATCTCTGCTCGTTTGAACTGTTACTGAATGTGTCACAAATGCGTGCCACGAACGTGGAGACGCGGAATGTAACCGAGCGTAGTAATAAATATGGAACAAAGCAGGTTGTATCAATTTAACGCTCGTGTGTATCGACACTTTTATATTGAATATACCCCTTTTCAATCCCCCCACCAAAATATTTCGAAAATTGCACGTTCTAGAAAAAAAATTTCGAACGAAAGATGTAGCGAGTCGAAATGATAGTGATCTTCACAATTACCTTGGCTACGAAATTAAAGGCATTTCAAGGTCTAGTAAATATTTTCAAATTGAACCCCTCTTTCTTCCCATCGGAATTGCAAAGAAAAGCAAATTTTACGTCTACCTAGCTTGATCATAACCTTGACAATCCTGTTCAAGGTCATGCCAAGGTCAGAACAATTTTCTCTGACAAAAATATTTGACAGAAGAGTTGTGAGCTTTGAGAGGATCACCTAAAGGTGACCTTGACCAAGGTTAAGTCATCATCTCCAAAGAAAATCTCTCATTTTGATACTGGAAATGAAAAAAGCAGGAAAGTTTACATCCGTATATAACCTTGATCTCAAATAAGATTTAAGATTAACACGACCTTGACTTAGAGGTCAAGGTTATACTCGGATGTAAAATATGCTTTTTCCATGCACAGTGAAAACATAAAAGTTTCCCTGGGAAAATTTGACTTAAGGTCATCGTCAAGGTCAGCTTTGGGCTATCCACACATCATTTGTGTTATAGAAAACTGTTCTCTATGTCTTGATTTGACCCTAAAGTGCTCTGAAGGCAATGGTCAATGCCATGTCCAAGGCGATGTTAGGGTGTAAAATTTGCTCCTCTTTTCAATTCCGATGTGGAAAGGGAGATGGGTGCTATTTGAACAAATTCACTTTACCTTAAAATGACCTTGAGTGTCCTAGCCAATTTGAGGCACCGTGTATATTCTGGAAAACATAAGGAAATCATCCATCATGTACATAACACCTCTGCAAAACTTCATAAAATGATGGTCCAGGGTAAATGGCAGAAAAATCACCAGACTTGCGAGTTCAAATTGCACCAAAACGATGAATAGATTATTATTTAGGTCGCTCCTCTCATACATGATACAGTATAAAATTTAGAGTCAAAATCATTATTTTAACCTTGGAAACTTTGTTAGTAACTAAATTATATTATATATAAAAAATGTCCATACCATAGCTCTGGAAATTGTTGCTAAACTTCCCACTAGGTGGCGCGTACAGTTTAATTCCTTCTCCTTTACTGGGCCTGGCGTTTTTAGGTGCAGAAGCATTACTTGATTCAAACTGAATAGGAGTGTGCCTCTTCTGAGGTGCTGAACTCTTTTCTGGTGAAAGCTAACAAAGAACAACCCTAATAAGGTATCCAGTTAAGGAAATAATAAAGAAACGCTCACCTTGATTTTCTTTGTGATGGATTTGAATGATAGTTGAATGTTACACTTATAGATTGGGACAGTATAATACAGATCTTTTATGAGACTACTTATATTTTCAAATAGTGCAGGAGCAATTTTCAGCTGATCTTCATCCAGTTTCTTTCCAGAGTGTTTTTCTAGAGACCTGCAAAATAAGATTAACCCCTGTTTTTGCAAGCAAAGATGGAAAATTAGCGTAGCAATTCTATTAAACTACTCACTTTTTACACCCACCAACACCTCTTGAAAAATATGTAAGTCGTGCCCGGAAATCTTTAAGGACTGCTGGATCTGCTGTCAAAAAGTCAGGACATTGTCGCGCCAATCTATGGAAGGCGTACAGTAGACATTCTACAGAAGTAAAATCCAAATTGGGCATTTTTTCTAAGTCTGCATCCTCTGGTGGTAAAGGCATAAAGTGCTACAATAAGAGAAAATTCTGAACTGTAACAATGAATAACCCAAAGCAGCTCATTTGATTGATTAGTGATAAGCTATTTCTTATGTGTATACATAGTGAATGTGCTCCTCAAAAAAACTACGAAATCGTGTAGAAAAAGTTATAATATAATTCTGATTTTTTCACGAAACGAAAAGTTAACAGTGCTGTTTTCATTGACGTGTTCAAAAGCGATGTACTGTGCTGCACTTTATCAGTATTGTGGCAAAGTTAATTAATCCAAGTAACCACAAAACATCTCAAGAATTTTCTGTATGAAAAACACCAGCGAACCTTGTACCAGCAACTTTTCTGGTGACCGTGGTGTAGATCATTATTTTTCACACAAGGGTATAAAACTCATATGAAATACAACTATTGCTAATATACGAGTAGCAGCAAATATGGAAATAGCATGTGGAAAATGTGCCACCTTAATTCCAACAACCTCCAGGCAGTCATATTGCTGTGAATTTTGCAAAAAGATGTTCTGCAAAACATGTTCTCAGTTATGTGCTTCTGAGATATGTAGACCTCATTCTGAAACTAGTGATATGCTAAGTGCGCTAACCTTGAAAATTGATAAACTTGCAAGCCTGTATGAAAGCTCTCTTACTCGAATGAAACAGTTAACTACGAAAGTCGAAGTTGATATGACAAGATGCTCAGGTTGGGAATTTGCAAAAAACCTTCAACAAAATAAATACGGTCATCGATTCAGGCAATAGTGTGTCAGCTTCAGCTATAAATTATACAGCTATTGTGTCAGTTTCAGCTATAAATAATACAGCTATTGGGCTTCAGAAACAGCTAGTACAAGGTAGACCTCTTCAGCAGAAACAACAGAATAAGCAACCTGTACAGTCAAATCTGTTTGACTAGCAGAGAAACCTTGCTAAGTACTATGTAGAACTCAATCAGGATGAAGATAGAAGACCTAGTCATAACCAAGTCAATGAACAGGCTATAAAAACTAAAAATACCCTACCAAACATAGATGACTGAGGTTGTGAATAGAAGGAAAAGGCGCAGAAGAATACAGTTTGCTACAGGAGAAGCTGCAGATGACAACTTTGGATTTGAGGGAAGAAAGAAGAATGAAAAGACATGGATCTTCGTAAAACGGGTGAAGAATACAGTCACAGAGCAAAAAGTAAATGTGTATCTCAAGAATAAATTATAAACTGATGAAAGAAATATTGAGGTAAAAACTAGATACTCGCTATAAAAGAAAAGATAATGCATGGTTCCTTGTTGGGGTCCATTTCGATTTTAAAGATAAATTATATGATAGAGGTTTCTGGCCACCTGGTGTTGCCTATGAAAGATTTAACTTCATAATTGGCCAACGATTCCTAGGGTACGTACATATTGAAAGATGCTTACTGTGATGCTTTCTTCGCTACCTCGATGAGCGCTTCCTCGCGACTTTCTACATGGATGGAGGGTGTTCATACTGAATTCACCCTCTTTTCTCTCCTCGAACGCGGTTCTTAATGTTTCATTCATCGACAGTGACAGTGAGAGTGAATTGTATCTAGTAACCAAGTGGTGGATATTTAGTTCTTTACCAAATCTAAAATATAGTACACATCCAGAGTACCACCATCTTTTCCTCGAATTGAAGAGAGACAAAGTTACATACGCGACAAAGTTAATCCTTTACTAGACGTCCGCAAGTACATCAACTTGCACAGTAATCCAATTCTTGCTGAGGAACCAGTTTCCCTCCTGACAGCGAGGAAAAAACAAAATATTTGGTCTTCCGCGCGGTCGACCGCGAGGAAGCGCCGCAGAATGCATCGTCACCATGAACGCTCCCAACTTAAAACATGTGTTTGTTTTACATCGCGGTCAGATCGAAGCAGCGATCATCGAGCTGGCGAAGAAAGCAACATAATCCCCTTTTAGAAAGATACACTTTTTCCAACGTTCTTGCCATTTTCTTAACCTCAGGATTTGTCGAACTCCAAAATACGCCTCTGTCTCGGCGATGACTTCCTCGTTTGCGCTAAATTTTTTCCCCGCGAGCCATTTCTTCATGTCAGGGAACAAGAAAAAGTCGCAGGGGGCCAGATCGGGTGAATACGTGCGGCAGCACTTCATAACGCAAGTCATGCAGTTTGGCGGCTACAACTCCGGATGAATGTGCTGGTGCGTTATCGTGGTGAAACAGCACCTTCTTTTTCGTCAAATGTGGCCGTGTCTCCTTCAATTTTTTGTCGAAGCGGTCCAATAACTCACTATAGTGATCGTGATCGTTCGCATTCCAAAAAATTGTCGCCATGATCTTTCCGGCAGATGGGACAGTCTTCGTCTTCTTTGGAGCAGATTCACCGGGAGAAATCCATTGTTTTGATTGTTGCTTAGTTTCTGGTGAGTAATGATGAATCCAGGTTTCATCGACGGTGACAATTCGACTTAAAAACTCCTTCGGATTTCGCTTAAATTGCTCCAAACCCTGCTTCGAAGTTAACAGCCGCATCCGCTTGTTGTCCACCGTGAGCAATCGCGGCACCCATCGGGCAGGCAATTTTTTCATAGCCAACTTATCATGCAAAATATTGATTGCGGTTCCGGTCGTCACACCTACGGCCTCTGTACTTCGCGCACTTTCGTTCGTCGATCAGCGAGAATCATGTCGTGGACTTTTTGAATGATTTCTTCGGTAACCACGTCTGCCGGCGTCCTGGTCGATCCTCATCAAAAACGGAGGTTTACTGTGATGCTTTCGTCATTTCATACTGAATTCACCCTGGATGTTTTCTCTTCTCTCCTCGAACAGGGTTCTGTATGTTTTATTTGCTCACGAGCGAATGATAAGGCAGGATGTTGACGAGCGACAGTGACAGTGAGAATGATTTGTCTCTAGTAACCAATTGGTGCATGTTTAGTTCTCTACCAAATCGAAAATGCAGTACACATCCAGTAAACAAAGCGAGACAGGAACTTGAGAGTACCACCATCTTTTCGTCGAATTAAAGAGAGACAAGGAAAGATTCCACTCATACATGAGAATGTAGACAGATACATTTGGTTACATACTCGACAAAGTTGACCTCTACTGGACGACCTGGAGCACCATCGGAACGAGCGCCACCTCAAAGTACCAATCCCCGCTAAGCCCACCCCGATGTTTCCCTCCTGCCAGCCAGGTAAAAACAAAATATTTGTTCTTCCGCGCGGTCGACCGCGACGAAGCGAAGGTAGCGGCGCCGAATGCACCGTCGCTATGAACGCTCCCAACTTAAAACATGTGTTTGTTTTACATCGCGGTCAGATCGAAGAAGCGATCATCGAGGTAGCGAAGAAAGCAACATACCCTTAGGGTACGTACATAGTGAAAGATGCTTACTGTGATGCTTTCTTCGCTACCTCGATGAGTACTTCCTCGCGACTTTCTACATGGATGGACGGTGTTCATACTGAATTCACCCTCGATGTTTTCTCTTCTCACCTCGAACGCGGTTCCTAATGTTTCGTTTGTTCACGAGCGAATAATAAGACAGAATGTTGTCAAGCGACAGTGACAGTGAGAGTGATTTGTCTCTAGTAACCAAGTGGTGGATGTTTAGTTCTCTATCACATCGAAAATACAGTACACATCCAGTAAACAAAGCGAGACAGGAACTTGGAGAGTACCATCATATTTTCCTCGAATTGAAGAGATGCAAGAAAAGATTCCACTCCTACATGAGAATGTCGACAGATACATTTGGTTACATACTCGACAAAGTTGAGCCTCTAACTGAACGACCGCAAGTACACCAACTTACACAGTAATCCAATTCTTGCTGAGGAACGAGCACGACCTTGAAAGAACCAATCACAGCTAAGCCCACCCCGATTTTTCCCTCCTGACAGCGAGGTAAAAACAAAATATTTGTTCGTCTGCGCGGTCGACCACGAGGAGGTGAAGGTAGAGGCACAGAATGCATCGTCACCATGAACGCTCCCAACTTAAAACATGTGTTTGTTTTACATCGCGGTCAGATCGAGGAAGCGATCATCGAGGTAGCGAAGAAAGCATCGCATTAAGCATCTTCACTATGAATTTCTCTTAGACAATATTAGAACAAAGAATGAAGGTGTAGCAAATGAGTCAGATGGGTTTGAAACACCAATAAAAAACTTGGACTGAATAAAGTTTACCTCAAATCAAACACCATTACACATCCTCAAACTTCGAAGAACAGATATGAATATTGCAGTGTGATCATCAGAATGTTCAATCCTTGAGAAACTGTGTGGATAAAATAAATGCTGTTCTATAAGCCAATCCTAACTGTAGTGTACTGCGCATTACTGAACACTGGAAATCAGACGAACAACTAAGTTGGTGACAAGCTTCTGCGGGGAAGAAGGTCATCATGGTGGTGCAGCAGTGTATGTTAGACAGAATATAGTGTCCCAAACAAGGAAAAATCTAACTAAGTTATCAGTGATTCGTGTATTTGAGTATGTAGTAATGGAATGTAAAATTGCTAACAGGTCGTTGTATGTTGTGTCATATATAGACCTCCAAATGGTGACCGAACTAAATTTTTCTTGAAACTCAAGGAACTTCTAACACACTTTGACCAGAATAACGCACTTATAATAGCAGGTGATTTTAATGTTGAAATGGTTAAACAACCTTAAAAATGAACTGTACTCCGTTATGTGCTCTTTTTCCTTAAAACCCAAAATAAATAGCTATACTAGGATCACCCCTAAATGTCAATCTGGTATAGATGATATTTTTACAAACTCAGAAAATTGTATTGGTGATATAATAGAAACTCAAATATCTGTTCATTCTGACCAAAAAGTCTTAATACCGTGTGAGCCCGCTGCGAATGCTGTTACTCACAAAAGATTTTTTACAGAAAATGCAAAAATCAATTTGAAGACGTGTTGAAACAACAGGATTGGCAAGATGTCCTAGACGTTCCTAAGCAAGACGTTAGTAAACAGTGGAAATTATTTATAACAACCTGATCAATATTTTCAACATGTGCTTCCCTAAAAAAAGCCCATACACAAAGCAACTGCGTAAAAAACAGTACAGGTCAAATGAAAAAATACAACTTTGCCAAAACAGGTTAGACAAGTTACTGATTTTTTACAGACACAAAAATTATTTTAAAAAAGACTATGGCAACACTAAAAAGGAATCTGATAATTTATTAATTGAACAACGGAAAGAAGATATGGAAAATATAATTTACAAATCAGACAACAAATCAAAAACTATATATGTGGACTTTATGTAACGAAATATGGGCAATGTTAAACGTATTGATGAATTCAAAATTCCTGGATACCCTTATGAAATAACTAATGCTACAAACCGTCATTTCACTGATTTAGTACCTGATTTGTTGCAAAATGTTACGTATAATTGTGGTATTCCCTACAATACTGAAACGCTTAACTTTCAACCAACTGAACCTGATGATCTTGTGATAATATCAAACAAACTGAAAAATAAGTACAGTTATGGTGCTGAAGAAATACCAACAAACATGGTGAAGCTAACTGTGAAAGAAATTAAAGATATTTTATGTTATATTATTAATAATTCTCTAAAATTTGGAATTTTCTCTGAACAATTGAAAGTGTCAGAAATAAAACCGCTGCTAAAAAAGGGAGATCCATTCATCATTGATAATTACAAGCCCCTCAGTATTCTAAATAGCTTTTCCAAATTATTTGAATATGCTGTCTGTATACAAATAACTGCTTTTATGGTCAGTATGGCTATATTCAAGGTAGATCTTCAATTACAGCTCTCCACCAATTTACACAAAACATTTTAAACTACATGGAAGATAAACATTTAGCAATGGGCTTATTTCTTGACCTTTCTAAAGCATATGACTGCTTAAACCATAACATCCTATTTGACAAATTGAACAGATATGGAATGTGGGCTAATGCATTGTCCTTGGTAAAATCCTATCTTACAAACAGGAAACAACGTGTAGCGATAAAAAAAGATAATATCATCATCAAGTCAGATTTCATTTCAAATGAGGTAGGTATACCACAGGGCAGTGTTTTAGGTCCCATATTATTTGTCATATACATCAATGATCTAAGAGATAGCATTAAGAATTACGACTTTACAATAATTAATTATCCTGATGATACCAGCATACTCATTACCGTCAAAAATACCACTGGATTTGAACATAATGATCAGCAGGTGTTTGAATCAGTGAGGAATTGGTTTGCAGTGAATAAACTTGTATTAAATAATGACAAAACTGATTTAATAATATGTAGAACAAAGCAATCGGATTGATATACCATAAAATATCAAACTTTCTGATAGTAACAGCCAAGTAAGTCAGCAAACTAAAGTGTTAGGAATACATTCAGATGAATTTTTGTCTTGAACTCCCAACATAAACAAAACTGCTTTGAATCTGAGTAGCATCAGCTATGGAATAAGAGTGTTATCTAGTTATATAAGTTCAGAATATTAAAAAATTGTATATTGTGCAAATTTTGAATCGATTCTACGTTATGGAATAATACTGTTTGGAGGCAGCTCAAAACTGCAAAAATATTGGTTATTCAAAAAAGGACCATAAGAGCAATGAGACATATGAAATTTAAAGAAACATGTAGAGCTGTATTTAAGGGTATGGGTTTGATGTCAGTATATGCACTTTACATTTTTGATTGTGTTATGTTCACAGTGAAAAATAGAAACAATTGTCCCACGCGAAATGATCACACTTACAGTACAAGAGCTCTGAATGTTTTGCTACCTCAGCATAGGCTGTCAGTAACTGAAAAAAACTCCTTCCATATGTGCGCAAAGTTGTATAATAAACTATCTAATCATTTGAAAGTGATGGAATGTACAGGAACCTTCAAAAAACACATGAAACGGGTTTTAATTCAGCTGGAACCATACAATATTTCTGAGTACATCAATGATTCGCTTTATTGGTAGCTTGGGTATGACGTTAGTTCCACATCTATTTCATTTGTACATATAATGTATTTGTTATTCTAGATTTGGAATAAATATTATTATTACTATTATCATTTACAGGTTTGGTTCACTCCAATATTGATATGATATACAATGAAATTTAATCAACAAATTCTTTATGGTTTTATTTCAGAAGTCTAACATACAAAATGAGTATGTGACAAGGTGAACATTTTAAGCTCCTTTTTCAATACAGATCTAGAAATGAAGCCCTTATTGGTCACACGTTTAGATCCTGGGACTCATAGCGGCAAGAGATATGATATGCAAGATCACTGATGGCCTTTTCAAATATGGTACGAGTGGAATGTTTTCACTACTAATACTACATCACTACATTATATTATCAATATATGCAAGATTCAAAAATTTTCATTGTACAGCGTCATTTACCCTAACCTTTGCACAAATGAACGATCATGCCATTTCATACCCAATTTACAAATACTTTGAGGTATCAAGTAGCCTCGTGTAAAATTGAGAAACTAAAATAGAATGCAGATGGAAGCAGGTTTGGCCGTCGAAATGATCCATTGGGGAGTAAAGTGTTAATGTTTTTTTTTTTGTTTTCACTGTGCTAGCATTATTCCAAATACTTTCCCTGGTTGTCGAAATACTTAGAAAGACAGCTACGTGATCGTAATAATTATTTACAATATATTTATAACTATTTGGAAGTATCAAATTCAGTTGTCGAACTTACTGAAGTAAGCAAAATACAATTTTAAAAGACATTATTATTTAACTAGGTGTTTTTTTTGTTATAATTTACCTAGAAAGAGAAAAAATACTTCTCAGTGGGGCAATGGATGCAGTATTGGCGATTTCTCGAGTTAGTGAAAGCATACATGCTCAAAGTGAGCACACTTACTCTTACCTTCAATTTATCGAAAATCTGAACCACATGAAGGGATGGGTTCTCCAGTTTCCCACAATGTGTACTGAGCTCTGCCAGTTGCTTCAAGGCATGATACTGTAGGGTGGAGCCATCCTTCAGTGTACCTATTGCATCATAATTGGGCAGAATTTGGTCACAGTAGAACTTTGTGAATTTTGTGGACTCAATATTTGCCTAGCAGGTTAAAAAAAAACAAGATACAATAATCAGTCCAAGAACGAACTAAAAATAAGAGATATTATACTAAAACGCTTACATTGAATAAGGGCAGGGCAAAGTCGACACACATCATCACACGATTAACATTTTGGCCATTTTCTTCCAGAGGATCAAAAGAACCATCAATCTCTGCCTTCTCAGCAACAAGGTTTACAAGTTCTTGTTGCCCTGCTATGGTTTTTGTCAATTTTGAGGCTGTTAGATAGGGCATTACGAGGCCAAATTCAGTTGCATCAGATTCCTGAAAAAAGTGTTGATTTTCAAGCAAACGAATCAACATCAAGGAACGGTCATCATTTTGAGTGCACCTTAAATAGACCAGGGTGTTTGAATCGTACGGATCAATATTAATAACGTCTTTTTTCAGTTTTCAAGCATTTTAGATTCAATTGTTTTGTACATAAACATTTGGTTGCTCATGGAATTAATTTTTAGAAAAATCAGTCGTATCGTTTCAGAGAAATATAAAAAAAGGTAATTTTGGCATACAAAACTTTGCGCTCCAGCGATCGATGGGAACTTTTGACATATCAATTCTAATGACATATTAACGACAAGAAACTATTTTCAAGTGGGTATGACTTTTATCCGAATTCCCTTTTGTTCATTTTTAGCGCATCTTAAGCAGACCATGATGCGTTTGGATCGTACGGATTAATACTATTTCCGTCTTTTTTCAGTTTTCAAGCATTTCGCGTTCAATCGTTTTGTATCCAAACCTTTTGTGGCTCATGCAATGCATTTTTAGAAAAATTACTGACACTTATTTTGAGACCCTGTATAAGTGGTATGTATTTTAGTATATGTCACATACACCAATGCCTCCACATTTACACTGAAAACTAAATACGTGATGTGTACAACAAGCGTGTTAGAAAGAGATACGAGCCCCTTCCCACTTCAGTTGGCCCACTTCAAGATTTGTACCAAAATATGCCTATAAACTAAACATGAAACTATTTACTTCTAAAACAATTTATTTTCTCAAATACATTTTAGATACACTCTAGTCGTAAAAAATACATATTTGAAATCACTTAGACCTATAACTAATAGAACATCTGAACAAATAAACAATGTGCGAATAAATGCGCGAAGTTAACAAAGCAACAATTGAATGATTACCATTTGGTAACATCACCTTTATTTTTTATTACGACTGAAATTCTTTGGGGCATAGTGTTAACCAAGTTTTGGCAAAAATTTGGTGTAAAACAATCCCATATTTCCTGAAGCTGTTGTCTCAGTTCGGTGATTGTACGAGCAGGATGTTGTCGTAGAACCTTTTTCATCTCGTGCCACAAAGTTTCAGTAGGTGACAGATCTGGACTGCTAGAAACCCATTTCAAAAGTGGTACATTATTTTCTTCCATCCATTTTATAGCCTTTTTTGAGGTATGGCACGCTGCACCATCTTGCTGAAACACAAAATCTTGGCCGGATGTCAAACATTCTTCCATCACTGGTAAAAGCGATTCTTCTAAAATTGCCAAATATTTGTTTGTATCCACATTTCCATCAATAAAATGAAGTTATCCTACTCCTTTTGATGATATACTGTCCCAGACCATAATGGATGCTGGAAATTTCACTTTTCTCTTCAGAGAGTCAACATGGAATGCTTCATTTTTTTTGCGAATAACTGTACTGCGACTGTCACCAACACAAACTTCGAATCGGGCCTCATCACTCCATTGTATTGCACACCATTGTTGAGGTGTCCATTGTCTATGTTCTTTAGCCCATTTAAGCCGATTTTTCTTTTGCAGTGGAGTTAATAGTGGCTTTTATTTGGCCTATAAACAAGTTGTGCAACTTTATGGTTTTTACTTCACTTTTTTTTATAAGAAAACTTATCTTGCAAGTGCTAAATCCCAGTTTGTGGGCCTCTCTACGAGTTGTGGACATCGAAATTCTCCTTCCAACAGCGTCACTCCGCAGAGCACTTAATTGTAAATAATTGGCACGCCTGTTTTTCACGATTATTCTTATTAATGCTCTTCGGTCGGCATTTGTGATATTACTTTTTTTTCACATATCGTGGCTTAATATTAACTGAACCACTTACGTTATATCTTCTCACACTGTACCGCGATAAGTCTAACAAAGTTGCAATTTCCGAGTTTGATTTCCCAGAATTAAAAAATTTAATTATCAGTAACAGAATTTTCTCACTAATAACCTTTCCTCTACCCATTTTGAAAACCTTAACTACCCAAAACTATTTTAAACGTATTCTGACAGCTGTGATTCATAAAAACAATTGTCATGGCTTTTATTTTTCACAGCCACCTATGCGTTATAGACTTATTTTGCTTTGAAATGAAAATAGGTTGATATGCTGTAATTGCAACATGTGTTATTTGTATGCTGCAAATTTGATTAGGGAGTGATAAAGTTGCTGTTTTCTACTATATATTATCAAAATATTCATTGTTAATATTTTAAACCTATAATACCCTGCTACATTTTTATTATATGTGTTTGATAAGAAAAAAACTAAGATTTCAATAGTTGGGCCAACTGAAGTGGGAAGGGGCTCGTAGAAGCACCTAGTTGACTAGCAACCCGAGTACGAGGTCACGGATTCCAACGCCGCACTCTTCATACATATTGCACGCTTCTGTCTCGTACGTCGGCCAAATTTGAACCTCACTGTACGTTCATATTGAACAGTTGATGGCGTAAACATAATATTTGCCACGTAAGAGCAAAAGAGTACCCGAGAGTCCACAGATCACTAAAACTCATAAATGAGGATTCAAAGAACAACTTTTATAGATGATTCAATTCTCTGCGATTTTTGTAAAAGGCATTTTTGTGGTCCATTTCCCTTTTAGATAAATATGACAAAACGTGCTATTTTTGATATTTCAACCTAAATAAAACAAGGTTTCGCTTTAATAAGGATATATGAGGAATTTTGATACATTATTCATGATAGTGTATTCAGGGTCTGTACTAATTTTCAGATTTGTAGGAATTTTTGCAAACCTAATTTTTATTTTGGTGGAGTAATACGTGATTGTACAAAACATTTACATGGACTGTAACATTCAAAGAATTGGCAATGTTGCACATTATCTACGAGATCTGAATTGCTGAATTACTGATTTTTTTGGTGAAATGTGATTATGTACACGATTTTAAAACTCAGGAACTGCATAGTTAATTCGAAATTTCAGAATTCACATCAAAATATATTCAAAACCTCCTAAATTGGAGTACAGTCAATTTTGGTAGGTTATTATAAATCAAAGTAAAAACCAACTATACACGGTGTTTCAAATTCGACCCTCACCATTGGGATCTCGGAAACTGTAAGCGATACGAAGTAGCTTAAATGTGGAAAAAGTTGCGTATTCAGGTAATCAACAAAATGCTGCTTAGAAAGTTTCGAAATTCAAAGTACTTCCAGAGAGAGACGAAAAAACGAATTTTCCCAAAATCGTTTCAATTTTGTCCTTTAGTTGTGGTGGGATTTCAAAATAAATTGCACATTAACATTGCCAATGTTTCTTCTTTACAAGAAAACTTAATTGGAATTTTATTGTGACGTTTCGTCTCTTGTCCTCCAGCATCAACTTTATTTTTTCTTATGGTCGCCAAATTGGATTTCCTTACCGATGAATAGTGTTTAATTCTGATTAAAAAAATGTATGATACGTCATACATTGACATTGCCATATTTAAAGAAAAAAACAGAATTTCCTGGGATGGCCTTGAAATGATCAGATAGCCATTTGTTTCGCATAACAGATTTATCCCAAAATCACTTTTATTTTTCCTGACTGTATTCGAGGTGGGATTTAAAAATACATTGCTTGTTGTTAAATTTTAAATTCGACATTTTTTCTGTCGACTTCCATCACCAACTTTCATATGGACGCTATATTGAAATTTTGTACATTTACTCGTAAATGAACTTTTCAGTCCTAAGTTCAGTGATGTATGTATTTCCTTAGTTGGCCATGAATAATTTGTTGTTAGATGAAAATAATAAGGAAATAAAAAGGTCTGGTGAAACCTGACCACAAAATGAAAATTTTATTGATGGTAATAACAATAATAATCGTAAAATGAGAGGTAATCATAGCAGATGTTCAAAATGCTGTCCGTTATTTTGTAGGCAAAGCTTGTCTCTTCTCTGTATATTAATCAATGTTCACTGCTCGATTTATTTCTCTTCTTAATCTTACAAACTCTGATACTATGTTCAATTTGATAGTCCAGTTAAATAGCCGAAACTGCGGCAAAAGTGATAACATAGCCACAAAGTTATGTCCGCTGGCGTAATGGTGTAATAAAGGTTTGCGAATATTGTCGTTTTAGGTTTTCCGGAAACCAGCCGTTTTTTGTAAAACAGCGAAAAACCCGAAAAACCTCTTTTTCGCTGAAACGGCTGAGGATATCTGGGATTTTTTTACACTTAAATTTTTCTAATTTTTGGGCCATCAGAAAAGGTCTCTGCAAATAGTTTGCTAAATTGCTTAGTTTTCACGCTACAGCTTGCTGATAGCTTGTTCGCGGGGAGGCGTGCGGGGGCAAGGGGTGGCGTACACATATCACCAGCCGCCGCACGGTTGACACGGTCGATCCTCTTTTAATATTTGGACGACCTGAGTGTCTCACTATCAGTGATAGGCCAGACGCTTTCGAATAATAAGCTCGATTGTAGTTGTGGCGTTCACCGACGTATGCATAGTGATGTGAGCGAGAATATTCTCAAAACATATATTCTCGAGAACGAGAATATTCTCGTGGAGAAAATTCTCGCCGGTAATTTTCTCAAAATGCTTTTAGCAGTACCGTCGGAAACCTACTTTTAGCGAGCCAAACGGACCGCGTGGGGAATCCCGGAATCCTAGAGGTGTTTATTTGTATTTCTTCCTGTCATAACCTGCAAGCATCGCAACCGAACGACAGTATTAGAATTATTTTTCGTTTGTTGAACACGTAAATCGTCAAAATCATGAGTGATAGGAAAATAACCAAACCAAAAAGTAATGTGTGGAATCATTTTGACTTGAAAAAACTTGAAGGAAAAGTAGTGATCAGAAAATGTATCATCTCTGTCGAGTACTGCAGCTTCATCTTTGAAAGGTATGTATATGGAGGATATATTGAAAAGAAGGCTAGTTCAAGGGGTATAAGTTTGTTGTGTTCGGGCTTGTGTGTTACTAATGGAACAGAAATTTTATTTTAACATAGATAGTGAGTTAACTATAAAGGATATATTCCGGGATAATTTAGAAATGTATGCTTTATTACATGGACAGTGGAAGGATATTTTTTGCTTAAGTTAAATTCAATCAAGTCAAAATAAAACATTTTTTTCAGATCAGTGTGAAGAGGAGGAAACTTTAACAAAAGCTGCCAGCATATCAGGTAGCTTTGGCGGTAACTCATCAAACTCTCGTTCCACATTACGCAGATTTATGGATTTTTCAAATAAAGAGGAGCAAGCAAAGTTGGATCAACTATTTGCAAGAGCAGTTTATGCTTCTGGAACACCATTTGCAATCTCGGAAAATAAACATTGGCAGTTATTCTTTCAAACATTAAGGCCAACCTTTAAAATGCCCTCACGATATTATTTGTCTAATCAACTTCTAGATACAGAATATGAAAGCATCGCAGCCAACATACAAATTAAAATAAGTGAAGCCAATGCTTTAGGCCTGCAGTGCGATGGTTGGAGCAACAGGAGAAACGAATCCATTATTAACTTTATTATCACCACTCCCACACCTATTTTCTTCAAAACTTTCACTACTGACACAAATCGACATACTGCAGAGTACATGGCCGAAAAAATAGAAGAGGTACTAACAGAAATAGGACCAGAAAAATTTAGTGCTCTAGTGACGGGCAACGCCAGTGCAATGGTGAAAGCCAGGAACAATATTCACGAAAAATATAAACATATATCTGTTTACGGTTGCGTCGCCCACACACTTAACTTATTAATAGGAGACATCTCAAAAATGCGAACTATGGCTTCGATAGAGGGCGATGTTAAAAGTATCGTTAAGGAAATTAATAATTCTCATCTTTTACTAGCCACTTTCAAAAAGATCCAGACTGAAAAAAAGGGGACATCTGTACCAATATCGCTAAAGTTACCCGTCAAAACTCGATGGGGATCAATTACCCACAGCTTGAAAAGTCTGCTTGATACCAAATATGCCCTTAAAGCTTTAGCAGTTTGTGAAACTGTGGATACTATATTGAGTAAGCAAGTAGAAAGATTAGTTTTAGATGAAGCTGTATTTTGGGTAAGAGTGATAAAACTGTTCAATTTAATTAACCCCATTGTTGAATACATAACCAAACTAGAGTCAGACAAGCCAAAACTAAGTCAAGTAGTAGAATGTTTCTATAGTTTGGAAAAACATTTTCAAACAGTGTTACCTTCAAGTCCCCTTACAAAGCAAGAAGAGCAAAATTTACAGGAATTTTTAGTAAAAAGAAAGCGTATTGTCATAAACCCAATACATTTGGCAGCTAATATATTAGACCCTCGTTTTAATGGTGTTCATTTGACCAATGAGGAGCAAATTCATGGTACTGAGTTTATTGATAATATGGCTAACTCACAATACCCAGAAGACGCAGCAAGTATAATGGCAGAATTGGCGTATTACAGATCTAAAGAAGGATTATTTGCAAAACCGTACGTTCTAAGGTCCATCGATACTTTAGAGCCGGAAATTTGGTGGAAAGGAACCTGTTTTGGAACAAAACTAGGTAAATTAGCGGTTCAAATTCTGGGAATGCCTGCGACTAGCGCGGCTACCGAAAGAAGTTTCAGTACATATGGTTTCATACACTCTTCAAAAAGAAACCGACTGACAGCTGAGCGAGCCGGTAAAGTTTTTTCATAGCTCATAATTTAAAACTATTGGACCAGGACCAGGTATCAGCGATGTCCAAACGGTCCAAATATGAAGAAGAGAACCCTTCTACTTCGCACTGCCAGTCGAAGGAGAGTCTTGAAAAAATAGAGGCAGTGAGAATGATATTGGAGTCTGACGATGGTGATGAGTCGGAGGCGTCAGAGAATGAAAACTGTGATCTGGAAATTTTTTCTGACTCAGATTCATTTTCTTAACTTCATTTTGTTTAAGTCTGTTCAACTTTTTACTTTGTTTTTTATGTTTTTGAAATAACGAGAATATTCTTTTATTTATCTCCAAAGATGGAACATAAGTTATTATATTTTGTTTTTGTTAATGTTCAATAAAATCTTAGATTTTGTGTAGGTTTTACTACTTCTAGTAGGTCGTTATCAGAAAATTCTCATTATTGAGAATATTCTCGAGAATATTCTCAATTCTTTTGTTCTCGAGAATTTTCCATCACTACGTATGCATATTAATGAATTTTTGAAATTCATTAGTTTAAGTAGAGTACAAGATGCAGGAATTTCTCTTCAGCCGCTTACCGATTGACTGGATAAGTGAGGTATAGTATTTTCATTTAGAATTGGAACAAAGACAAAAAATCTAGAGCTGAAAAAAAGGTGTGAACGTGTATATAAATGAGTAGCAATGATAAGAATACATTACAGGATATACAGAAGCCCAATGAGTCATTAAAATACTCGCTTTCGAGGCTCCACGTTATTTTCATAATCATCCACGCAAATCAGTTTGATCACCGGTAGTTCTTGATCTGCGACCATGATAAGAGCAGTTCTTGAGCCGCGTCTATACGTTGGGCTGACATACGTCAATGCAAATATGTAAAAAATAGACGATGGCCGATGGTGATGAGCATTTGACGATGTCTTCTCTGCACACAAGCGAGCTCAGGGTACGAAATTCAACTGGACTATTACTGAATAACCCCCACCATGTAGTAAGAGATCGTGTGCGTCGTCAACCCGTGGACGGCAGGGTTTCCAGGCGTCGCGATTTTTTGCCAAAGTGGGGATTTGACGGCTTCAAATGGCGACTAAAATGGGTAGGGGCGAAGTTTAGCATAATGGTACTCTGCCACTTGATGCCCGCCTCCCCAAAAAAAAAAAAAAAGAAAAACTGAAAAACAATACAAAAAACAAATACATTTGATAGGTTACAAGTTTAAAAATGTAAGTGTATAAAAAATATGATGTATATAACATAATATAAGTGAGGGCTATTCAATATTTCATGAGTTAAAAGTATAAAATTGTAACAGTCATACAAACAAAGGAATGCTACATAGGAAATGTTTTTGTCTGAGATGACAGATAAATTTTATCAACTAATTTATATACTTCTAGGTAATCAAAACAAATTTCTTCATATGTCTTTTAAATTCATCATATACAACAATACAACAATATTCGCAAGCATTTATTAGACCATTACGCCAGCGGAAATAAGTTTGTGGCTATCACTTTTGCCGCAGTTTCGGCTATTTAACTGGACTATTGAGATCTGGTATATAAAACAAATGAAATCTGACAACTTACCTAGGAACTTCCGTTTTTCTGGAGCACCTAAGGTTTGGCAATGTCAATGCATGACAATATGGCATCGATAAGAAAAAATAAAGTCAATGCTGGAGGCCAAGTGACAAAACGTTATATTGAAATTCTAATTATGCCATCTTGTAGAAGAGAAAAAGTGGCAATGTTAATTTGCAATTTATTTTGGAATCCCATGGTCAAATAAAGTCTGTAAAAAATAAAAGTGATTTTGGGATAAATCTGGTAGGTTAAACAAATGATCTCATCATTTCCAGGCTTACCTATAAAATTCTGCTTTTTTTTTTGGTATAACTAACGTTTGCCAACGTCAATGGACTTATTATACATTTTTGGAATCAGAATTAAAAATCCTACGTGCAAATATTCAATATGGCGTCTATAAGAAAAAATAAAGTTGATACTTTAGGCAAGAGACGAAACGTCATATTGAAATAAATAAAGTCAGGAAAAAATTAAAAACGATTGTGAGAAAATTCGGTATTTTCCGTCTCTCTTCGGGCGTACATTGAATTTCGAAACCTTCTGAGCTGCATTTTGTTGATCATCTAAATATTCAACTTTCCCCTCATTTAAGCGACTCCATATCTATAACAGTTTCCGAGATCCCAATATTGAGGATCGAATTTGAAACACCCTGTATAGTAAAATATTCCAGATATTTTATATTTGCACTCAAAAATTCCTATTAGCACAGGTCCAGAAATGTCCTATCACCAAGCTACAGGGTGTCGTAGATTTCTACGCCACTGATGAAACTGAATAAGGACTTAACATCATCATTGCTCAAATAACGCTACACTGAGTTAGGGTTAGTCTCCTAATACGCTATATACAATTTTAAGTGTCAAATTTCATCAACTCTAGCGTGTTTTCAAACTATGGGGTTGTCCAAAACGGACGCAGGAAAGTAAACGCATATTAAAACAAGAAAGATTGATATTCAAATCAAGTTGGGTACTTTATTTTGAAGGTTCATTTATACCATTTATGTATGAAAAATAATATCGCTCAAATGTTCACCACGACTGGATTTACAGACGTCCACGTGATGGTCGAAATTTTCAATGACATTTTGCAACATGGTCGGTTCTATGGCATTTATCTCGGCAATGATGTTGTTTTTGAGTTCTTGGAGGGTGGCTGGTTTGTTGACGTAGACTTTGCTTTTCAAATATCCCCATAAAAAGAAGTCCAAGGGAGTCAAATCGCACGATTTTGGTGGCCATGGCACATTTCCTCTGCGCGAAATCACGCGATCACCGAAGAAGGACTGCAATCGATGGACATTGACGTTGGTCGTGTGGCATGTTGCACCGTCTTGTTGGAAATAAACATGGTCCATATCCATTCCTTCAAGTTGCGGCAAAAAATAGTCCTCTATCATCACGTGATATCGCTCAGAATTGACGGTAACGGCGTCCCGGCCGCATATTCGAAAAAGTAAGGTCCGATGATGCCTTTTGACCACAATGCACACCACAGTCACTTTTTGAGGATGCATCCGCTGCTCTTGATACTCACGGGGATTTTCGTTCTGCCCAATTCTTGGGATCGACGCGTTGTTGATTGTTTCGGATCGTCTCTCACACTCTCCTTTACAACAGCAATATTTTCCGGTGTGCGAACGCTCCTTGGCGGGCCAGAGCCTGGCAGATTTGCCACAGAACCTGTTGCCTCGAATTTACGCACCAGACGCCCGATGGTTGTTTCGTTTGGGCGGTTGTTGCGACCGAAATGTTCACGAAGCGCGCGAAACGTGTTTTTTATTTTTGCACCATTTTTGTAGTGCTCTTGAATAACTTTAATGCGGTCTTCAATCGAATACGTCTCCATAGCGATCAATGGTAAACATTCAGCTAACAAAATGACATGTCGGTGACAGAAAACAAAGATGGCGTCTATGTCAAATTGACGTTTACTTTCCTGCGACCCTACTGGACAACCCTTTAGAACGGGCTGATTTTGTCTCAAATGATCAAATCAATTTTTCTCCAAAAAGAGCAGTCAGACGAAAATGCGATTCAAGTAAAACTGAACACCATATTCATAATGCAATAGATGTTCCAAAAAGGTCAGAGGCGTAATAAACACTGGAAACTTCCCACGCCTGTTGCAGGGAAGTGTTGCAATTGCAAACATTTTCCAAAATAAGATGTTTTTTGAATGTTAATGTTAATCACGGAAAGCCATGTCACTGATTTCCGTCTGACTGTCGTTCTGTCTGTCTCCTAATCAGCGTCTTTCACTTGAGAAGTACGGATCAGATTTTAATGAAATTTTTAAACAATGTTACTACTAAGCCCAGGACAGAAAAGCTTTGTAATTTTTTAAAATCGGTCCAGTGGCGGCGGAAAAGAGGTCAAAAACGGAAAAAATCGCTCAAACTTCGTGTTTTGACGTACAGGGGTAAAAAAGTTGGGGGTGGGGGTTGTAGTAGGGTGACGAGGGTATATCTCAATGTATTGAGGTTAGTATATTTATACGAACCCAACCTTGGTAGTTATATGCAGATAGATCGCATACCTACCGGCCGCGTCTGCTGTTCCCGGCAGCGTGCCGCCGGCCTTGGTGAGTATTCTGGTTTTACACGAATTACTGCCGCGCCAGAACATGGTGTTTCCTATGCTATGGCCGCGCTCCCACGTCTGATCGAGTTAGGTATAGGGGGGAGGCGACATTGTCAGATGGACTACCGGTAGGACAGGGAAAGAATGTCTATGGACTAATTGTAAATGCAAAGTTTCTGTGAAGCCGGCTATGTAGATTCTAAACTATGCTTATTCGGTAAACATCATGACAACCAACTTACTGGTATTATCTTTTTCCCTTCTTCTAACAATAGATCATAGATTTCACTTGTCAATTTTTCCTCCATTTTTATAATCTTCTTATAAATAAACTGCAAACACTTCTCCCTTTCTGTTGCATCATCGGTACTGCTGACATGGTTAAAAACTGTCTTGAGTGTACCAACAGGGTCTTCCTTATAAATCTGAGACAAAGTATTTGTAGGGGTATTGTGATCAGATTCATCAAGTTGCAACAGTTGTGCCAGAATATCTGTTACTTTTGGTACATACTCTTTGGAGTCTTTGCATATTGCTGGCAAGACCTTCATTGCACTGATTCTTATCTGAAACATATTCAAAAACATTATTATAATATTAAAACTGAACAATATTATATATTATGGATCCTAATTAATAAATTAGATACGATTTTATAGGCCATAAGCTGTTTCAACTCATTATACAGAGTGTTACCTAATTATAAGCCATAATTATGGGTGCATTCCTGAACCAAGTTATAGTAGGAACTTTTATATAAACATGTGTCCTAAAAAGTAAGATAATAAGGGATATAGAGAAACAAATAAAGCTGTATCATAAATCCGAAAAATACATATTTCTTACAAAGTCAGTGGCACACATTTTTTTGTCAATATTAATCGTGAGATGAACCTCGAGATGCCACTGGGATTCATAATTATCTTCTAGTGTTAGCGTCTTAGGGGCCGTCCAAGTATTACGTGAGCACTATGGCGGGGGGCGGGGGGATCTTAGCTTTGCTTATTTTGGATTACATGGGGGGTAGGGGAGTCTAGATGATGATTACGTCATCGGTAGTTATTTACTTTTTTACACGAATGGCAACCCTCACATTGTCTTTGCTTGAAAACGAAACGCATTTTCGGGGATTCCCGCAAATAATGCATACGTTTAGTGAACAGCGCGCGGTAATTCCCCTACTCGCTTTAGAACCGAGTAGGGGAATTACCGCGCGGTGTTCACTTGTCTAAATTTCCTCTATCAGTGTATTGTTTCGTTTGGATACTATAGCGAGTAGACGTATTGTAAGCATAGTAAAGCAAGTTAACATTTGTGTTACCATTGATTTCATTAGCCAAAGTTTAATGTTTAAATCAGATGTCGTTTCACATAGACAAATCCAAGTTATACCAAAAATTGAAAGTTTTAAAAAATCTCATACAAGTACGAAAGTACAAAATGTACAAAAGTTAGTTAACGAAGTGTGGCGAAATTACAAATTACAAGCAAAATCCGACAAGGAACTAGATATTATTGTATCTAAGAGAATCGAAGAAGAATTGCAAGCGGCGACTAAGAATAAATCCAATCTACTAATTTTTTTGTCTAAGGTGAGTGACGAAATCATTTTAGGTACCTATGAGTACTAGAAATATTAGAAATCGCCAAAAAGTTTCTCTTTACTGATTAGAAAATATTATGGCCTATCTCAAAGTATAGAGGTAATATTCATTATATTATAGATTTATTCCTTATGATTGATTCCGTCAATTGGTCACAAAGAACAGGATGTTAGTTTTATACATATATACAGAAAACTAACACCCTGTATTTTGTGACCGGAACGAATACCATCTGTTTATGCTGGTATCAAAATCACTTTCAATATGCTAGGACAACCGCAAGCCGTTGGATATTCTGGACCAACATACATCGCTATTCGAAGTGGAAAGCATAGTTCATCTACTGCTAATACTCATGCTCATGATTTCGAGACGCTTCTCGAACATGAAGAGTTTCGACTATTAGCTAAAACTGACCATGGACTAGTAAAACCAGTAGTAATCATGAAGGTTGATGGAGGGCCAGATGAAAATCCACATTATCAAAAAGTCATAGGGTTTGCTATACAACACTTTAAGCGACATGATCTCGATGCATTGTTTTTAGCTACCAATGCTCCTGGAAGAAGTGCGTATAACAGAGTAGAGCGCAGAATGGCTCCTCTTAGTCGGGAACTGGCTGGTTTAATATTGCCTCATGACCATTTTGGATGAACATGGCGTTACAATTGATGAACATTTAGAAAGATCTAATTTCGAATTTGCAGGAAATGTATTAGCTGGAGTATGGAGTTCAGTGGAAATTGATGGCTATAATGTTAATACAAAATATGTTGGGGCAGGTGAGCAAGATCTTCCTGATTTTCCAGACATTAAATGGTATTCAGAACATGTGCGTGAGAGCCAATACTTGCTTCAAATTGTAAAATGTAGAAATACAGAATGCTGTCGTCCAAGAAGTGGCCTATTTAGATTACTAGACAATAGGTTTCTTCCACCACCTGTAAAAGTAAAACAAACAGTTGATGACTTGGTTTTGGATGAAGGAGGGCAATTTCTTAATCTTCCAGTCAATTTAGCTCTACGCTTAAGTGCTTCACTCAAAGATTTCCTGCAAATGCCCTACGATTATTTTTGTCCGACGGTAAAATTGAGGCTATCAAGTCGAACATGCAAAACGTCTTTATCATGCTTCCGTCAAGTCACTAAATCGTCTTAGAAACCGAACTTTTTAAGACACATGCTTTATATGGACTTTTATACATTTATGTTCAGGACTGCGTTCTTGTAATTAGACATTTGTCAAAAACAGGAAAAGGTTATTGGACGTAGAACCGCAACTCATTTTAAAATTAACATCCAGAGAACCAAATTATGACGATCTCATCCCAGCACATTCAATTTAATGCTTCGCGTTAATCGAAACAGATGCAACTTTTACTTATGTTGTATAATGAATATATGTATGTAATTATAATGAATATATATATATATATACGAGAGCGGTAGAATTTAATTATATATATATGCATATACATATATACAGGGTGTTCACTTGAAACTTGCCAACAAGGATTTATCGAAAACCACCGATTAAAAGAAAAAACGCCGAGACACGTCAAAAAACTGGTCAAGGTGAACATCTTTTTAACCAAAAACTACTTCGATCACTTTCACCCTCTGCCCACCAGGGTCATCCCTTACAAATTTTAAATGACAAGGGGTATCGAGTAATAGCTTGTTTGAAAGGTCTTTCAAAGTTCTTTATTTTGTAGGTTGATTTTTTAAAATGGGTCGATTCGTTTTCAAGAAAAATATATAAATCTTTATTCATCTTTGTTCATGTAGAAAACAAGAACACCTGAAAATATCACTTTTTATTTCAATTAGTGTTCAAAATGTTGCCAGTTATTGGCCAAACCATGATAAAGGTGATGTTCAAATTCTTGGCGGACATTTTCAAAAACATGTTGCCCGTTAGGGTTTGCCAAATCTACAATTCGTATATAATTTAAAACGGAAACAACCAACATAAACCAGCAATTCGGAAGATTAGACGTGGCATTAACCAACTAACAACCCGACTTTTTTTACATATTCTTTTCATATCCTGGCCGAACTGTGTTTATTGTTATACCTGCTTAGCTATAGTCAACGCCAAACAAAGTGGCGTGCACGTCATCAAGGTGGGTGTGTTGAAAAATTTACATTGTTGCCAAACTTTTTGTAAAATAATAAAATTTACTATTTACATATCTAGGTTTATAAGCAATATTAACCTCAAATGAGAACAAAAATAATAGTATAATAAAATTATAGATCTGTACTTGCATAATCATTAAGTATGACAATTATTGATCAGATGACACTATGAAACTACCATATTTAATTGATAGCTTAAAGGTACTGAATAAAAATCCAAATGGGGTCCTCCAAATTTTATGCATGGTATTTATTTTACAGAATTCATACAGAAAAATGCATTCTAAAATTAGGTAAGCTACTGGTGTAAGCTTTTTCTGTACAATAAAGTTAGTCGGAGTTTCTTTCTTCAGCGCTGTCTGAATCTGAATCTTCATCACTCTCAAAGTTGATTATTAAAGGTTCGATGTCTGGTCGATCAAAAATTCGTTCTCTTTCATACCATTTAAAAATTTCTTGCTCAGTATGTCGAACACTATTTTTCCACATGTCTGGGGTAACCGTTTGTAGAGCCTCGTTCCACATATCCAAACAGTCTTTTTCACTGTTACCATCTCTACCAATATGTCTGTTATAGTAACCTTTTGCTATGCCCCAAATTAACTCAATAGGGTTAAATATACAATGGTAAGGAGGCAGACGAAGAACTTTGTGCCCGTGTTGTTCCGCCAATTCATCAATCACGTATATTTTAGGTGGTTTGTTTCTAAAAAAGCAGTTATTTTAAGAATAGGAATAAACAAAAGAAATATAAACTGTCGACCAAAATATATATAATTAAGAAGCATTATGTACCGAGCAACAATACTCAATAGCTCTGTTTTAAACATTGTGTTTAAAAATGGTATGTTTTGATTTGTCAACCAGTCTTGGATATTTTTTTTTGTCCATGCATTGTTGGGCACTTTGTTCAATATCATGCTGTGATAATGGGCGTTATCCAGTATAATCATAGATGGACTCTCCAATTTTTCTAATAACTGATGTTGAAACCATTTCAAAAAATTGTCCTGGTTCATCTCTCCATGGTAATCGCTCAATTTTGTTTTCGAAGAAAATATCGCTTCACTACCCTCAATAAACCCATTTTCATTTCCAGCATGTAATATAATGTATCTAAAATATATTAGTTTTAAATTTTATAGTGCAAATTGTGTAAAAGTACATACCTTTTACCATCTGTTTTAATAGCTTTCACGCTTTTTTGGTTTCCATTTTGCCAAGAGCGACCTATGGTCCCATTTTGAAATATCCAAGTTTCATCGAGGAAGACAAACTGGTATAAGGCCTCAACCTTGGCTTGATTGTATTGCCTTAGAAATTCCACCCTTTTCAAAGCTATACTTGGTAGTTCCATGAGCCCTCGTCGCGGATTGTCCTTAAGCCACTTAAATCCAAGATCTCTAAGCAACCGCCTTAAAGACGTGGCACTACCATCAAATAATGCCCTATCTCTTAATCGAGACCATAAAGTTTGTATCGTAACTTGTTCTTCTGAAACCATGTGTAATATGACATTATAATTTAGTTAACAAATTAATGCAAATTTCTGATAAGTTATTATAATAAGATCTTACTTTTGTGATACATATTATAGATCACTTCTCGAATGGCACTTGTATCCAATGTCGCTGTGTTGGTTACACGTTTAATATAACTCCGCTTTTTCTTGGGCGATTCTAAATTTGCATCACTTTTCACACCCTCGGAAATACGACTAACTGTCCTTAAACTAATTTTTAAAGCAGCAGCAACACGCTACAAAAAATGAAATAAAATTTCACTATTATTAATATACATTACATATAATTATTAGTAACCTACCTCTTGAACAGCATTTAAAGGCAACAAAGGCCCGTTGTTGTCCCTTTCTTGCTCAAAGTAGTGCATTAACGAGGCCACGAGTTC